GAGGGGAAATGCACCTGATGCTGATATTTTGGGTAAAGAAATAACTAAAGTGTGTGGCAATCTGGCCCAGAGATGTAACCTCCCGTCGCCTCAGGGATCCGTGTAGCCTCTGCCCCATGCCAGGTATCCAAGACTGATCCGGCGCTCATTGTGCAGCTGCCCTTAGTGAAGGACACGCATGAGACTGAGGAGCAGGATAGAGGGCTGAGCGGAGAAAACATTGCCCTGAACCCTCACTTTGCATGCAACATGCATGTGCCTTCGCTCCACTTCAAACATGGCCATGGGCTGGGAGCGCTCCCCACACCCCCGCCTCTCAGCCAAGCACACTGGTGGAGGTGCTGGAGCATGCTCTGGTATCCTTGGGGGCACGGTGGGGAACTGGCTTGGTCTGGCTATTGGGTCCCCGGAGGCGCAGAACGCGCAGGATTGGCACAGCCTTAAGACACTGCAGCTGCTGCTCGCTGAGCAGCACCAAGGAGGGTGTGGGGCATGTGTGTCAGAGGAGGGGTGTCTGTGTGGGCAGGGACGTGGGTGCAGGGCTCCTGCGCTGGTGCAGCAGAAGCAAGGGAGTCTGCGTCAGTGCCTTGGGGTGGGGGGCCCATGTCAGAATAGCAGGGAGGGGCCCGCGCCACAGGAGCGAGGGGCTGTAGGGAATCGCTCCATGGGGCTGCTGTTGTGGCAAGTGTTTAGCTGGAAGCTCTTTGCTTCCCGACGGCTTGTCAGAGACCGCTCTCTGGCTCAGCGCTTTGCCTGCCTTTACACCCCCTTGGACCATGGGCAGGGTCATGTTCAGAGCAGCGCCACCCCTAAAGAACTGCTCTCATGCTCCAGGCCTCTCTGGGGAGGGGGCAAGTGCTCTAGGCAGCTCTTGGCAGAGCCCTGCCCCCACCCAGGCTTTTCCTAGAGCCCATCAGATGCCAGTGATAAGAAAGCAGTGGGCTGTTGACATGCACTGGCCTGTCTGACCCTGGGTGAGATGCATTATGGCCGCTCAGTGTATCCGCACGAGGGGAGCTTCTCCCTGCTCAGTGCCACAAGGTAGCACCTTCCTCCTTGCCCTGAGGGGTGCTTTACTCCTGCTCTGCCCCAGGCCTTGCCGCACTCCTTTCCCCAAACTCCCACCCCCTCTTTTCCCTCTCCTGAGCATGCCTGAGCCTCACTCCACATCCCAGCCGAGAGCTCATGTCAGACCTGGGGAACCTCCACAGGCACCATCCCCTAGTCTCCCTTTGGCCTCACAGAGCAAGACACAGTCACTGAGCTGGCCCAATGCCCAGGAGTAACTCAGCAGCACCTCAAAGATGTGGAGGACAGTCCAAGTTACCTGAGGTGTCCCAGGGAGCAGGCAGCATGTGCCCAGTTCTTAGCCACACTGAGGCCGACTCCCTAGGAGAATCACATAGCCTTGCTTCTTCAGTGCCCCTCAGTGTAATGAGGCTAGTGGCCATCCCCTGGGAGGAGGGGGCGAGGAAGGTGCATTTCCTTAGCGCTGGCAATGGGCTTTGTAAGTGCAGCGGGTGCTGATCTATAAACAAGCTGCGTCACATTCCCCTCGAACCACCAAGCAGGGCTCCATCCCGAATCCCGCCACACATGAAGGGAAAGACACTAAAAGGCATGAAGCTACAAGCAAACACCACGGCCATTCTCAGCTCTGTCCTCTGACTGTCAAACCTGTTTGCACCATGTACAACATCATCCACCGTGTCACTAATAATAATAAAACTCACCAAACGCTGCCTGTGACCTACCTCTGTGCTTGGGGGAAAAGAGCCCTGTGTGCGGTTTTCTGCAGACTTTCAGAGAAAGGAACCGGTGCAGCAACAAGACACCTGCCCCGGCTGCAGGTGAAGATGGGCTCACGCTCTGGGTGTATCAGAGGCACTAATGGTAATGTGACTGGCCTGAGTTGGAAATGAACCATGACAGAGAATTTGCAAGGGAGAACTGTTGCATCTCTGCCCAGGGCTGATTTGGGAACCATTGTTCCTTGCATAAACAGGTGTTTAAATGGGTGCTTACCCTCCCCAGAGGAATTCTGCTGGGTGTCGGCAGGAAACACCTTCTCCCGAGGGGGGATGCTGAAGGCTCCAGTCACATATTAAATAACGGTGGAAAGTCCAGATCTTGGAAACTCCAAAACTACCAGACAAACTTGCTCCCCGCACGCCCCCTCAAAGCACACCCCCAGCCACTCAGTGTGCACCCATACCTGATCCCCGTATGCCACACCCAGCGTACACTCTGAGGGGACCATAGAAAACGCACCATTTTACAAGGTGCCCATGGGACCCATAGTTCTTTAGGCACTGGCCAGGTGGCAGGAGCACCGCCGCAGGCTGGCCAGCCCAATGTTCACAAGCATGCGCCTGGGTGTACCATGCACATCCCCACTGGCCCCAGCCAGGCCGTGCTGCCGGTGGCTGGCTCGGGCTCACAGCCCTGCACTGCTGATGCTGCTGGCTGCGAGTCGGGCTCTAAGGCCGGCGTCTGGGGAGCCAGCACAATGACTATATTAGGGCATCGCCCAGGCGTCTCGTTCCTCTGCTCTGCCTGAGGGCGCGTGGGCGGGCGGCCAGCTCCAGCCAGCAAGGGCCTGGGATCCGCCCAGCTCCCTCCTGCTCCATGGCACTGGGGGGGGAGCCTGGCTGTCAGGGCCCTGGGGGAAGG